ATGATTCCGGATAACCTGAGTTCCCTGATCACAGAATGAACACCTTGCCCTAACCAATCACCTGGCAAAATCCAGCCCCGTTTCCTAGGGAAACTTGACAATACAGAGTTTAGGGCGTGGAAAGGCAACCTATTACCGCAACTAGAGCAAGTATCTGAAAGCGATTGGTCTACTGTTGTTAAGCACCCCTTCACATGCCAGGGACAAATGATTACAGGAGAACAGGCCCAGAACCCCCAACTAAAGGTTAATAAATCAGGGAGGAGGACGAATGATATTGCACTGTACATTCCTCCGGGGCGGAGACCGTGTCCGCTTTCTTTGGTGGGGAGTGCAATCATTCTGCTCCCAGTGGACGCGCTGATAATAAGACTGTCAGCTGAGGATACAACTCTATAGGGAAAGCTCTGGCCTGCCCCAGGGTGTGGGTAGGCGGGAGCTGGAGGTCAGTGGCGGTCAGTGCGTTGAAGCCATGCCACTATTGAAATGCCACTGAAAGGTGTGAGGCCGAGCTGAAGGACAGCAAGACAGTATGTGCGCGTAACTTGTCCTGGGGGACGGGGCTGGGCTGTGTCTCCCTCATACCCGCCGACACCCCTCTCCACGAGTCTAAGGTTCTATAAGCTAGGCAAGAAAGGCGCGGCGCCCACACCTCAGCCCCGGGACCACCACCTGGGTAGGGGAATAACAAACATCTACGCAAGCGAGCTTCTGAGTAGGAAAGTAGATCCGGACCGGCACATTTTCTGCTTCGTTGTGCACCCCTGGCCTGGGGAGGGACGCGAGCGGAGGGGTGTGTGTGTGTGTGTGAAAACCGACTACACTTCTCCTATCTTCGTACGTAAAGGGCGTCCCCAAATTCGCTCTCTCCGTTACCCTTTCCCGCCGCCACTGCCGAGAGGCCGCCGCCGCAGAAGGCAGGGCCGCGGGAGGGTCTGTTGAGGAGAGGCCTCCCCAGCCGGGGGTCTGCGCGGCGCCGCGCGCTGGCGGAACAAGTCAGCCGCTATCTTCCAGGCCACTCCTTGCTCCCCACCATTACCCTCCCGCCCGCGACCTTCGACCTCACAACCTGGACCCACGGGAGGAGACGCGAAAGGTAGCAAAAGGCGCAGCGCCGCCACCCAGTCGGGGCCGAGACTCGTGGGTCCCTGCCTGGGAGGTGCGGGGACTCGCCTGGGAGGTGTGAGGACGCAGCCTGGGAGTGCGGACGCCCCACCTGGGAGGTGCGGGGCCCTACCTGGGAGGTGTGAAGCCCTCGGCCGCGCTCCCAGCGGCCGCGCTCCCACTGCCGCTCTGACTCCCTCCGTCTCGACTCCCCGAGACCGGACCACTAGCATGATTTACAAACGCAAAGGCCTTATTGTTGTTCTTTGTTCCAGGGACACTATTGTCTACTCGGCGGGCCACCCGGGAGTTTTCACTGGGTTTGCTGCGCGTTTTTCCCCTCCCCGCCCCCACAGATTTGCTCTCCTGAGGCAACCCGGATCTGTCTGGGGGCCCGCAGGTCCTTCCCGGTCGCCTGGAGAGTCCTTCGTGCGGCCGGGTTTTCCGAGCATCAAAAGCACAAAAGCCTGCAGGAAATCACCCAGCCTTGGCTGGTCACTCAGAGGCCAAGGGAAAGCGTGGCTATGACTCCTCGGGTCTGAGCCACAGTTCGTCACTACCCGTGTTTAAAGACCCCTAAATGGTAACGGGCGCGGCTTCTCGCTACTGTAGTCACCTCCTCGGCCAGCCCCTGGAGACCCTAGTGCGATCTGGGACAGGCATGTTAGTGCCGTTAGTAGCCAGGAGCCCAGAAGTCCCCGCGAC